TATAATTGCACACAAAGCTGTGATTACAGAGATGAACCTTTACATCCTGTCTGTCCGTTAGCACAAACTATAACCTTGATGCCTCTGTAATGCAGCAGAGCGCTCCCAGCTCTCTATTGTGGAAATAACTCAAACAAGGTTATGGAAAGGTTTTAATGGAAATGTTTGTTTTTTTTTACAGAAAGTGGGGAATGCATTTTAAGATAAAAATTGGGGTGCATGGCTGAAAGAACTTTTAGTGCCTACATTTGATGGAATCCATTTGCTGGACGGTAGAAATCTTTTGAAGATTCTCACTGTTCTGCCTGTGAGCTCGCACCTCTTGAGCTGCTGCAGGGTGCAGGGCTTGATGGAGGGCTGGCTGCAGCACAATGGCTAATGTCACAAGTTGTCAGGGACTCAATAGGAAGCTGGTCTCAGGTGGCTAAATGCAGCCTGTACCGAGCCGGAGAGCAGCCCTTTGGTTTGAGAGTGACGACCCTCTTGAGTCTTACTGCCTCTGATTGCACAGTGAGGAGAGAGCTGAAGGAGTTGGTGACCTGTCAGGCCCAAACTTCATCAACCAGTTTTATAAACTCACATAACACAGGGCTGCAACCTGTGCATCAATTTAACAAACAAATATCTTTAAGCTATTGTGAATTGCATTTAGAATATACATTTTTTTATTTATGTGGACTAAAAAGGTCTCTACTGCTGCAGAAGATTCGTGAGAATATGAATGTGTAGGTTATTTAAAAATAAAAATAAAAACTTTTTCACAAACTCCCAAACAGTAAACAATATTTTACATGTAAATTCTGGTCAGAAGTTTAACAAATTATAAGTTCAAGTTTCTTTATTGTCATTCGCATCACATGTGTTACATGAGGTGGAATGAAATTGTGTACTCAAGGTTCCAGATAAACCAAAAAATAGCAAAAATATAAAGTATTACAAAAACAGTAAATAAGGATCTAAGATATATGCTAAACAGTACGCTAAAAGATCTAAGATATACACTAAACACTAATAATGTAAAATAATATGTTGTGTTAAACAGCAGCCCGGACATGAGTCTGTGGTGAGTAGATGGGTATGAATAGAGCAGCATGAGATCAGCAGCATGGATAATCAGCAGCACATAGGACTTTTATTCCTTAAAGGAATGCATATTGCTTTGACACCAGTTTTAGACTAAATTCATTTTATGATTAGAAATGACTGAGTTGAAGCCATTTTGGTCAAATTTTGAAAATACCTTAAACAAGTTAATCTGTTGAAGATTATCCAGTGAAAATTTTCTGTAAGTTTTATGAAAATTAGTTTTGTAATTTATGAAATGTTCTGCTTATAGTCCAGACAAATGAACATAACACACAGATATGAGCCAAAGCATTATCACCATTTTGTCTTTGGCAGCGAGCAGTAATAAAAAGGGAAAACTACAAGTAATTAAGGAATTTGTTGAATTTTTTTTGTTTGTTTGTTTATTTTATTTTTTCTCAAAATGGCTGAAATGTGAGAATAATATCAGAAACCGTCCAGTATTTCTCTTCTTTGCTACAATGACGGACTACTTGTGTGCGTTTTCATAGTTGGAAGCTACAGTAAAACACTAAGTATTAAAGACTTGAATTAACATAGTGGGGAATATGTCATCTAGTAATGTGGATTAAACTCCACTTATTATACTGACTGATGAAGCGTTCCAGATCAAAGGCGAAACATTTCAGCACAAAAAAAAGAAACTGTCCAGATGACCTGACTGAAAAATGTTGGATCCACTTATTATAGTTTATATAGTTGCACATAAGTTATGTAGACATTAAATATTGCATAATTAGTTTGATGTCTTTCTGCAGTAAAGTGAAACCACCTTCCAGTCTTTAATTATTTAGCTGATGGATTTAAGTACTAAATGTTTCTACCAGCTTAGCCAAAATAAAACATGTTTGTTTGTTTTTTAACTCTGATAT